AAATATTAGTATTTACATGCTGGTTGTAGTGACATAGTATGGAGGGAAGAATTTAAATTATACACAAATGGTATTAATGAATAATACTTCTTGAAAGACTGTATACTTGCTAGAGATGATATCCCTCTGTTTATTTCCCCAAAGTTCCACTAACACACAATCACTTTATAGTACACTTTCACTAGAGGTTTGAGGTAATAATTTAAAGCAATTGGAGGGGCACCAGTGTGGCTCAGTTGGTTAAGTGTCTGCCTTCAGCTCAGGTCGTGATCCCAGGGTCCTGGGATGGAGCCCTGCATTGGGCTCCCTGCTCAGCGGGGAGTATGCTTCTCTCTCTGCTCCTCCCTCCTGCTCTACTCTTTCTTGCTATTTCTCTCTCTCTCTCTCAAATAAATAAATAAAATCTTGAAGCAATTAGAAAAAAAAAAAAAAGGTTGAATTTTATATATTGCTCTCCTAAAAATGTGTTGGCTGTTTCTAACAAACAGAACTAACTGGCCCTAAGGTTCTGGTTTATCAAAATCTTGTCAAACATCTTTCCCTACTGCTGATCCTTATCTCCATCTCCATTTCTTTCCAGGAAAGCCAGTGAAAGGGAAAAGGCCCATCAGTAATGACATATCAGATTTCTCCAATAAAATAGATGGCATTTCTGCTCACTCATATTTGAGGACTTCTTATTCACTCAGAGTTTTTGATTAGCATTTTACTGGTTCTCTTTCAGATATTAACTGATAGTCTGGGAGTATTTTATATTAAAACAGACACACACACACACTCCTCTAAAGAGATACAAAAAAAAGAGAAAACATACACGGAGGAAAAATCAAATTTGGAAACTAAGATAATGCAAATGCTAAAATAACTGAAAATCCTGTAACTATTGCTATAGAGAAAAAAGGAAAAAAAAAACTTCTTATCAATAAAAATTACAGGATGCCCTAAAATATTAGACAAGAACAAGCTTTTGGTAATTAAAAATGAGAGTAAATGTTCTTTAACAATATAATAAAGATATTAGAAAAAACAAGTCTATCAAAATGAGCAAAAATAAAATGAAAATAAAAAAGGAAAACTGATGGTTATAATAATATTAATAGTGACATTCTGACTAAAAATTGTTTGATATAACCATTTTGAGAGGAAGTAGTGGGAAAAAAACATGTACAAATTGGTGAATGGAAAAACTGGTAACATAGCTACATATTTTCTACAGGAAAAATTATTCAGATAATGTGAAAAATTGAAAAAAAATCAAGAAATAGCATATAAGCATGCTATGTAGAAATATGAAAGCAAGTGGCTCCTGGGTGGGTTAGCTGATTAAACATCTAACTCGTTAGATTAACCATCTAACTCTTATGACCCACAATTATGGGTCATAAGATCAAGCCCTAAGTTGGGTTCCATGCTCAGCACAGAATGTGCTTGAGATTTCTTTCTCTACCTCTCTCTCTGCTGCTACATCCTGCTCATGCTTTCTCTCTAAAATAAATAAATAAATCTTTAAAAATATATATGTGGAAGTAAAAAACAGAGAAATATTTAATAATATTGAAAGCAGTTGCTTCTGGGAGCAAGTTTGTTATATTTTCTGCATTTGGAGCAGGTTTGTTATATTTTCTGCATTTGCCCTAAAATATTATCCCCCCACTCCTCACCCACTTTAAGTGTAATCATGGCTAAGTACAGGGTCTACATTACACATAGGTTGGAAGTGAAAGCATTGTGAGGAATATGCAAATCCTCAAAATCTTGAACTTGTATTAGTCTTTGTACACAATGTCTATTTTTTTCCTAGCTAGCAGACTAGACTGCCAGCTACAACTAAAATTCTTAGATGTTTCTCTGCTTGATTTGTAATGTGGTGATATATTTTTTTAAAGATTTTATTTATTTATTTGACAGACAGGTCACAAGTAGGCACAGAGGGAGGCAGAGAGAGAGGAGGAAGCAGGCTCCCCGCTGAGCAGAGAGCCCGATGCAGGGCTCAATCCCAAGACCCTGGGATCATGACCTAAGCCGAAGGCAGAGGCTTTAACCCACTGAGCCACCCAGGAGCCCCATGATATTTTTAATATATTTTTATATACACATAATAAAGATTCTAATATCCTCCTGAAGTATCAAAGCTTCTTCAGTGGTTTAACCTCTTCCTTTAATAGTCCAGTTATATAAAAATATAAAAATCTATTATCAGGGAAATATTCCCACCTTTATAGGTTATTAAGTGTAATTTTGATTCTTCATCTGTCTCTCTCAATCTACCATTTTATTTATACACATATGTATGTGTGTACTAAATGGCACATCAATCTTAAACCAAATCAGTTTTCCCATGGCCTTCCCTGACTGCTCTGTTTAAATTTCCCTCCACAATTCCTAACCTTATTCCAGCTCCCTATAATTATTTTCATACACAACTTTTCTCATGGCAATTAATATCATTTTCCATGTATCATGCTATAATTCTCCCAGATATATCTATATTAGGGAGAGAGTTAATATGAATGAATTATTTTTATGGTAATAGCTTTCTAGTAGAAGTATGAGAATTCAATCCTCCAACCCTTCAAGAGAGTTGACAGTCTCTGATCTACCTGGCCTAAAATGACAGGTAAATTATTTCAGAATTGACTGTGTCTACCCAGACACCTTGGCTATCCCAACTAGTGCCTAATAAATTCACCTTAAGGATCATACTAGACCATCTAACCAGGTGTGAAAACCCACTTTTACAATGGCAAGTGAGGTGGGTATTTGTAACTTTCCAATAAATCTTGAATAAAGCTCATTCTTTAATATGAGAAGCCTCTCTCCTTCCTCAAGTTACTGCCCATTTCTTGCTTCCTTCTTAAGCAAATAAAAATCTTCCTTTAATAAATTGTGCATATTCATTCTCAGCAATATAATTTTCTTACATTCTCTCTTAAATCCACTTCAAACAGACTTCTGCACCCTCCACTCTAGCCAAACTGCTTCCTTGACAATGTCACTAATGACATTTGCATTGCTTCTCCAATGGTCAGAACTTAGTCTTTATTTTATTTGACCTAATAATAACATTTGACACTGTTGGTCATTCTCTCTACTTGAAAGAATTTACATGTCTTTCTGCATTCCATCTGTCCTTGCTTTTTCTTCCTGTATCACTGTCTGCTCTTTTCAATTTCCTTTATTGGTTCTTCTTTCCCTCATGGACCCCTAAATATTGCAGTGCCCATGGGCTCAGTCCTTGGTCCTTTTCTCTGTTCTATCTACATTCACTTCCTTTTTGATTCTATCCAGTATTATAGTTGTACATCTGATGACTCCCAAAATTTACATTTCCGTTCCAGACTACGTCATACAGCCAACTGTGTACTCAACTTTTCCATAGGGCTGTTTAATTGGCAAATTGACCTTAAATTTTGAAACAACACTGAATATATTAGCTTTCAATAAAAATAGAGAAGTTGTGAAATAAATATAAAAAGAACATGTTAATCCTTCAAACTTTACAATGAATTTAAAATAACAGAACAATGTGTTACATCAAATAATTTTATAAAAGGTGTTTCTCATTCATATTAAGCTCAGTGTGTCATTTCTTATTTTAACAGTGTTAGCAAGCAAGGAGCAGAAAACAACAGCATGGTGAATGGCATTGTGAGTTTGTATCTATGGTCCCAAACAAACATATTCCAAGAATTTGGAATATGATGGGCAACATGACATTTAGAAAGAATACTATTGCATTGCCAAAATTTATTGCCTCTTACCTATGTAATAAAATCTGTAGGGGCGCCTGGGTGGCTCAGTGGGTTAAAGCCTCTGCCTTCAGCTCAGGTCATGATCCCAGCATCCTGGGATCAAGTCCCAGGGTCCTGGAATCGAGCCCTGCATCAGGCTTTCTGCTCAGCAGGGAGTCTGCTTCCCTCTCTCTCTCTCTCTCTGCCTCTCTGCCTACTTGTGATCTCTGTCTATGAAATAAATAAATACAATCTTCAAAAAAATCTGTAGATAAGGGTTTATTTATTGATTTTTTTTAAATTTAAGCCGAGACTTTTGGGCATGTAACCATTGTTACCAAGGTAACCTTCTCTGATGCCATCAGGATTCCTCAAGAAAGACACCTGCATATTTATTGTTCAGGTCATTTAACTTTTTCTTGCCTTCTGATCACTTACTCATGGAAATGCTTCTAATTTTTTCTTTATCAGTTTTGCTTTCCAATCTTATTTCTATTTTTCTAGTGGTTTTTTTTTTTTTTATTCCTGCAAACATAGAATGTAATATTAGACACACTTAACTAGTTTCCCTCAGGAAAGGAAACCGAGAGATCCCAGTGGTGTAAAATTCAGACATTAATAAATTGAAACTTGAGATTTCAAAACACTTTTGCTGGACTCACATAATTAATACTGGTATACAAAAATAATAAAGCTTTTTGTATTTCATAAATGTAGTTTCTCAGCAGAAGTTTAGAGGGCTAATGCATTTTTCTTTCCATTACCACTTGATGGTTTTTGCCTTTATGTTTAGGTAGCATTTGTGTTGTGGAATAATGGATATTAAGAAAGCTAATTCCAAATTATATTTTTCTGCTAGAACTTTAAATTCACAATAGCTCTGATTTCTGGCATATATGTATATTTAAAAGAGCTAATCTTATTATGTTAATATTTGCATAAATGATGACAGTATTATTTCTCTTAGATTATTCATACACTGATACTTCTCTATATTGCAATACAAACATAATTCAGATCACTTCAATTCAAAATGCATGAAAGTGTAAAATGCCTTGTAATATAAAGCATATACTTCTTAGCTGTTAGCATGATAGATTAAAAAGCATAACTTTTGTTTTTATTAATTTCTTTTATGAAACAGTCTCTTGCACTTCCTGTCCTACTTGCATATGACAGGTTATTTTGGGTTCTGGAGAGTAAATATAAGATTGCCATTTATTCACAGATAGCAATATGTTGATAAAGGCAGGGCAGGTAGAGGTTTACCTGTATAACCAGGAGCACAGAGGCACCTATATCCACCAGTTCTGCTGACACAATCTTCTCTATCCAGACAAAGTGAGATTTTGCATTTGCTCATATCCAATTCACACAAAGGTCCATGGTACCTTGGCTTACAATTACACACAGGTCTAGATTAAAGTCAGAAAATGAGAAATCACATGTTAACAAAAAGCATTTCGTTATATAAATAATTCATATGTACATATTAAATTTTAGCTATTTAACTTAATTTAAATAAATGGCAATATTTTCTTTTCATTTTTTTTCCTTGGAGAAAATTTAATTCATCTTGTTGGTTCACAACCTGGAAAGTTTCCTAAGTGAAATTTGAAACTGATCCCGATGCAAGGCAAGGAGACCCAAAAGAAAGAGGTAAGCCACTCCAAATTGGTGGGTGACAGTTTTAATAAGCAAAGGAACTTGCATTCCAGGCTTGTCTTGGATACCCTCAAGAAATAGATTTCACACTCGCTCCCCAAATCTTAGAAGTTTATATAAAGTCGTTAATGAGGTTGTCATATATACAGTCCAGAGGGTGTCAATAACACATTACTCTTTCAAGACTTTGTCACTGAAGTGGTTCCTAAATGAGAATAGTGGACAGAACATACATTCCATGGACAAGGTAGAGAGTGAGGTGCCTCCTAACTGCCAGGATCCAGTTTGCAGGTCAACACAAGGTCATGTCCTCTCAATGACTTCTTTAATGACCTTCTAAATATTTTTCCCCTTGAATGTTCTTTATGTGAGAATTTTTTTAAATGAATGTATTTGGATAAATAATTACTTTGATAATACTTTGATAAATACTATCAAGCTTAATTCTGTACTGTATATTTTATTATTATATAAATATAAATCTTTAACTGTATCCTATGTTAAAAATTGAAGATTACCCTGTCCATTGATTGAATGATGTTTCTGATATGGAATCCTTTCTGGTTAAATTAAAAAGATCCATTTTAGCAAAAACAATCTCATTATTGCTTAATTATATTGACAGATGTTGGAGAAATTGGATATAATTCAATGATTAGACATCAGGTTCAAAGTATCATGTACTTAATAGAAGCAGTGACTCCTAAGAGCCTTGCCTTTGAGAATGGATTCCAGAAATTTCAAATGAAATTCTTTTCACTATACAACTCTCCCTTCTTTATCTTAAGCATCAGCCTCTGATGAATATGAGTTACCAAGTTCAGGTATGTCCTCTGGACTTTAACTTATAACTGTTTCTTGCTCCAATGTGGATTTCTTTTTATTGACTCAGATCCTGTCTCAAAGGGCCCTTGATTCTTTCCTTTATAGTCTATGCTGTAGCAACAATCTATATAACTATATGTGGCATAATCACCCTGAATTTATTTTTAGTCTATTCCTGGATGTTGTGCTGAACATGTTTTTATCTCAATATCTAGTCATTCCCTATCTATTTGCCAGAAGACAGAAGACTAATTCTCCTGAGATGGAATTGTGACTAGTGTAAATTATACATATGTAAAATAACACCAGTAAACAACAGCCAAATAATGACAAGCCAATAAATAATGCTAAGAAGAGAAAACAATAATATTTTTTTCTGTATTCATAGATAAATACTAATTAAAACATAAAAGTAATTTCCATAGATAAAATTAAATTGAGAGAAAATGCACCTAGAAAAACAGGTTCTAAATAGTTTTTTTTTTTTTTCTTTCTCCCTCTAAATAAAAATGCCTTACCAGGTTTTCTTGTAATGCTTTTGATACAGATTTTTTTCTTCTTTTGAAGAAACCCTATTTTAACAACTTTTAAAACACAAATATGCATATATTTTAAATATATTGTCTCGAAGCAACAATTAAGACCATGGAATTTTAATATATTTTGATAAAATGGAAATTTCTTATTTAAATTCAAGGCCTTATTGCAAAAGGTTTAGTGTAATTAAACTTAAGTAGGTTAAGGTATTAAACAATTTCGTTCAAATTTCCTTTACTTTGATAGTGACCTAAAATTTTCCAGATAGGTATTCAAGATACTTTTCCAAAACTAAAATGAGTTTAAGCAGGTGACTTCTAAGGAAAATTTAGTACATTGAAAAAAAGTAGAGGTAAAGAAGAGTAACTTTATTTTACATAAAGTGATATTGCCATAATGAAAGGGGAAGGAAAAATTCAAGGTAATCACAGGAAGTTGTAGCTCTAAAATGAGGCCCTGCTTTACATTATTCTTAACACTATTCTTTTATCATGTTTTTATCTTAATTTAGATGAGAAAGAAGTTAATTAGTAGAGAAAAAAATTTTTTTTTACTTCTAGAAAGCTGTTATTTTAAAATATACCACTATATTAACTCATACTACGAGATTCAATATCTAAATTTTAATGGGAGTTTTAATTTAATCTTTTTTGAGAATTTTAATTTTAAAGTGCACTTATAGCATTAAGATTTCATATATAAAACATATTCGGCAAGATGGCCGAGGAGTAGCCAACTGAAATGACATCAGGTCCCAGGAGTTCAGCTAGAGAGTTATCAAACCATTTTGAATACCTATAAACTCAATAGGAGATAGAAGAGAAGAAAAGCAGCAATTCTAGGAACAGAAAATCGACCACTTTTGGGAAGACAGGATGTGTGCAGAAATAAATCCGAAAAAAACAGGAAGACACACCGTGGAGGGAGGGGCTGGCTCCTGGCAAGTGGTGGAGCAGCAGAGCACAAAATCAGAACTTTTAGAAGTCTGCTACACTGAGGAACATCACTCCAGAGGCTAAGAGGGGGTGGAGCCCTCATGGAGACAGTGTGCTCTCAGGACAAAGACTCACAGAAAGACTGGGGCGGGGGGTCTGAGTGTGGCAGAGCTGTCAGGTGTCAGAGCAGGGAACCCGGCTATGGAGACAGAGCTGAGGAGTGAGCTCTCAGCTAAGGGGACCTTAAAAGTTTAAGGGTACCTTAAACTGTGATCCAAGGCACAGTCGGGCCACTGTTCTTCATGCAGGGATCCCACAAGTGGCAGATTGGAGAGATTCCCTCCTTCCTCCTCTGGGAGAAGCAGCGTGGGAGTGTGTGGCAGGAATCTGGTGGGATGGGAGACTCCAAACGGGGCTGTGCACCAGAGATACACACACTCAGTCACAGACCAGGTGAGCGCAGAGTGCAACTGGAGACCAGGGAGATGGGAGGGTTTGACTGCTTTTCTCTAAGGGCACACAGAGGAGTGGGGCTCCAAGTTCTCAGCTCCTCTGGGTCGGAGATTGAGAGGCTGCCATTTTCATTCCCATCCTCCAAACCTCTATGTAAAGCATTCAGGGAACAAAAGCTATCAAAAGCAAACCCAGGCAGGTTACATAGGCCCCTGGCAAGGGCGATGCAATTCCACTTTGGACAAAAACATTTGAGACTCACGGCAACAGATTCCTCCCCCAGAAGATCTGCAAGAATATCCAGCCAAGACCAAACTCACCAATCAAGGAAAACAGTAGAACTCCACAGCTAGGGGAAAGCAACACATAGAATTCATGGCTTTTCCTCCATGATCCTTTAGTCATGAGAAGTTCAATTTTTTTTTTAATTTTATTTTTTCCTTATTCCATTTTTTTAAACTTTACCTCTTTCCTCTGTTAATGTTTTTTAACTAGTTTATCTTAACAATAACTTTTTAAAAAAATCTTTTTAAATCTTCATTGTTATAGTCGTATTTTGTCCTTTCATTGTACTGAACCTGCTTTTGTGTATACATGTAGGTTTTTTTTTCTTTAAAATTTTGGGATACAATTTCTTCTAATAGATCAAAATATACCCTAAATCTAGCACATGGCTTTGTTCTAGTCTCCAGTCTGATCACATTGTCTCCTCTGTTTTTCTTTTCTCTTTTCCAATTAATTTATCTTCTCAAATCCTTCTTTAGAATTTTTTTTTTAAATTTTCATCTTTACAGTCATATTACATCCCTTGATCATGCTTAGCCTATTCTTTAAAATTTTAGGAGGTAGTTTCTTCTAAAAGACCAGAATACACCCAAAATCAAGTGGGTGGATCTGTTCTATTCACCAATCTAAAAATATATATATATATATATATATATATATATATATGTAATTAGATATATATATAATTAGATATATGTATATCTTATATATATAAGTATATATATATAAGATATACTTGTATATAAGAAAAAAATATATATTTTTTTTCTTTTTCCCCCCTTCTGTTTCCCCCAGTTTTGATCTCTTCTGATTTGGTTACAGTACATTTCTCTGGGGTCTTTGCCAACCTTTTAATATTTTATTCTCTTGTCCATATATTCTTATCTGGATAAAATGACAAGGTGGAAACCTCACCACAGGAAAAAAGAACAAGAAGCAGTACTGATGGCTTGGGACCTAATCAATATGGACATTGGTAATATGTCAGATCTAGAGTACAGAATGATGATTCTCAAGGTGCTAGTTGGGCTCGAAAAAGTCATGGAAGATATTAGAGGTACTCTTTCTGGAGAAAAAAAACTAAAATCTAATCAAGTTGAAATAAAAAAAGATATTAATGAGGTACAATAAAAATGGAGGGTCTTGCTGCTAGGATAAAATGAGGCAGAAAAGAGAATTAGTGATATAGAAGACCAAATGATGGAGAATAAAGAAACTGAGCAAAAGAGAGACAAACAACTACTGGACCACAAAGGGAGATTTTGAGAGATAAGTGAAACCATACGACAAAACAATATTAGAATAATTGGGATTCCAGAAGAAGAAAAAAGAGAGAGAGGAGCAGAAGGTATATTGGAGCAAATTATAAAAGATATATTCCCTATTATGGCAAAGGGAACAAGCATCAAAATCCAGGAGGCACAGAAAACCCCCTTCAAATCAATAAAAATGGGTCCACACCCCATCATCTAATAGTAAATCTTGTAAGTCTTAGTGACAAAGAGAAAATCCTGAAAGCAGCTCAGGACAAGAGGTCTGTAACATACAATGGTAGAAATATTAGATTGGCAGCAGACCTATCCACAGAGACCTGACAGGCCAGAAAGGATTGGCATGATATATTGAGAGGACTAAACGAGAAAAATATGCAGCCAAGAAAAATATGCAGCCAAGAATACTATAAGCAGCTATGCCGCCATTGAAAATACAAGGGG